ACCATCTCTCCTGTGCCCATGACCATTTAGTAAGTACCTGGTGGTCTTGGTGGACATAGTGATGACCACTTGGAATTGCTTTTCTCTGCCCGGGAAGCGGCTGAGCTTTAGGAGTGAAATGAAGACAACTTCAAGCAAAGTCACATGTGTTGCACAGTCAGCTGGACCAAACTCAAATGTAACAGTGAGAGAAAGGATGGGTCCCATGGCACAAAGTTTTCTGCAGTCTTGGAAACACAGTCCTTGAGGCTCCCATAAAAGTTCTGTGGGCTTTCTACTCAACTCAGCCCCAAATGTTACTTCCCTAGACTGGAACTTCCCTAGAGTGTCCATTCTGTTCCTGCACTCTAGGACTCCACAAAAGCACCTGTGGTCTCTTTTGTCCCTGAACCTTGTTGTCTTCATGTTTCTCCCTAAAGAGAAAATGTCTCTTGAACTCATCAGAGGTTCCCAGAAATAACGAGCGTGGGGACACCTGAGGAGCCAGCAGTCAAGGCCACAGGAGCCTGTAGACAATGGCCAATGAGCTTCATGCAGGGGAGGTGGGGGCTTTGAGGGGGCTAGAAAGCCTCAGCAGCACCCAAGCTTGATTAATGGACTTTATCCTCAGGGGGATAGACAAATGCACAAAGATTATTTTTCCCCACAATTGTGAATTGTGCCTAAGAAGGCTGAACTATAAAAGATATTACTTATCAGTCGGAATTATCACTACAAAATATACATCAACTCACAGTATTTTTGAAAGGCTATTTGCTGTGAAAAATGCACTTAACCAACCTGGCTGCAATATAGCAAGTCTATTAACACTGCCATCTTTAATTACAAAGATGAAATATATAGATAATACATTAAAATTCTATTAGACATTATTAAACTCTTTTACATACTTGAAGAAAAATGTAGATCATATGGTAAATTAGCAAAAGTAAAATATGGAAATGTTAATCCACACAGAGTCTGAACAGCCGATATAAAGTCAAATTAAACCCGATCTTCTTAGGAATAAACAATCTGCTTATGACTGAAGATTTATCTGACTTCTGGTTTAAACTCAGACATCAATTTTCATTTGATGATTTTGCCTTCGCTTGTTCAAGAGTTTGCAAAAAACTACCCATGTGTACTTTTGTAGTTTTAAATGCCAATTATCTTGCAAAATTTGAAATAAATCTCTTCAACCAAGTTTGAGTCACAAAGGAGGTTAACATACATTGTTTGACCTGCAGAGCAATGATATAAGATTTCAGGAGGGAAATCCAATTATTCTACACTAGGAAGAAATGGTAGCATTTGGGGGGGGGGAATTATTAAAAATTTTAGGATGCGATTGAAAAAAATAACAAAAGTAAAATGTTTTCAAAGTTTAAAATTGCCCAGTTCCCAGCCGAGGTATTGGTTTTCTGCCAGCCCACGATTTGCAGATGGTGTATTTGTACTAGCACCGTGGAGGACATGACTTAATGATTCTCATTCATACACTGTCATAAAGATACCAAAAAAGGTTTTTCTGTGTTTCTCATTTTCTCATTACTTCTATTTTGTGTTTAAAACAAAACATGGTAAATGCAAAATATAAACAGCAATCCCTGCATCGAGACAAGATGAACAAGAAAGGTATAAACATGAAATGAAAGAAATGTAAAGCTCAAGGTTTTTCACAGAATCATTAATTTCCTTTACACATATTGGAAATAGGATTATCAGGTAAGCTTTTAAATATATATTTTTTTAATAATAGAGAAAAGGTTAGATGTATTCATGTTTTAATAAACACCTTAACTTTTCTCTTTTTCAAATTATGCTAATGGGTCCAAACTAAAAGTATACCAACAGTCATCATTATAATTAATGAAAAATAGCACCACTTTTGTCATTTCATAAAAGTGTTTGGGCCGAAACCGGTTTGGCTCAGTGGATAGAGCGTCAGCCTGCGGACTGAAAGGTTCCGGGTTCGATTCCGGTCAGGGGCATGTACCTGGGTTGTGGGCACTTCCCCAGTGGGGGATGTGCAGGAGGCAGCTGATCGATGTTTCTCTCTCATCGATGTTTCTAACTCTCTATCTCTCTCTCTTCCTCTCTGTAAAAAATCAATAAATAAAAAAAAGTGTTTGGGCAGTAAGATTTCTTTCAAGTGCATTTTGCAGCCCAACACTGTTATTGGTCAAAGCATTTTGCTATCTTCTCACATTTATAATGTTGTCATTCTGGATGCCTCAACTAGTTGCCTAGTTTATATCCGAAGAAGATGGTATAAAGAATATCAGATAAAGTCTATCCATCTCTCCATCTCTTAAGACATAGAGACTCTAGGAATCACATCTTCAAACACAATACCCTCAGGCTTGATTTCTAAGCTGAGGGCAAATACACAACTGCAGCTTTGAAACTGACTACAATAGACTCAGCATAGGAGAGGCAGTGTGGGAGGTGGTGGAGTGGATAGGGAATGGAGGAAGGTGAGCAGCAAGCTGGGCTGCAGGGGACTACATTGACCACATCATCTTTGAGGAGGATGGGAGGTGGTACTTATATCTTTAGTTCATCCAGGGAACTCTACTCTCCTGCAGAAGTCAATGGACTACTTAAATTTTTCAATCACATGTGGGCCTTTCCAAGGGGCCAAGCCAGGGACAAACACAAGACCTGTCCATTCTCACCCTTTCCCCACTGCTTTTTAACCTTTGCCTCCCCCAGCCTCATTGAAAATAACTTAGTTTAAATAAAGCTGGATGAATATTATATTCCATTTTATTTGGGAAAGAGAATGCCATTAGTGGTCTGCCATGGTGACCAGTAGCATATGAAGGAAAGGTCTAAGGCACAGCAATAGGCTGACTTTTGTTCTCTTTCCATTTAAATGTCCATTGTCCATTAACCCCTGCCCAGGGGTCTCAAGAAAAGCATGGCATTCATAATGCAGGGTTTCTCACAGGGGCTGTTATATTTACGAGCACAACGTATTTCCTCATATACTTTGACATTCTTGATCAGTGTACTTCTATTGTCACTGCCATCCGCATTCACAAATGTGTGCGTGCACACACACAGACACACACACTCCTCTAGAGAAGGTACCGAAACACCTCCATCTGAGGATAGACACTGCGGTCCTTGCCACACTGAAAATATGAGGTAGCAACCAGGACAAGCATTAGATTGTCTCGCCAGGATCTTCACAGGACTCCCCCACCCCAACTAAACACTCCTTCTGACATGCTACCTATCTTAACTTCTTGTTTTCAAGGTCTTTCTTTCAGACAAAAATCACACCCAGTATTAGTTCTTGGGAATCTCAATACTTATATTTGGTGTGAAAAAGACAGGTTCTTTGACATGGTCTTGGACTAAAAGAAACAAAATAAAAACCACCCATGACTATGACTGCTTCCCCCAGCCATGAAAGGCTGTGGATAGCTGGTGGGAAGCCACCCTGTACCCTTTTTTTTTTTTTTTCCACTCAGACCATATTATTAGTGTGAAGACAACGGGGCCTCCACATCACATCTGTCACCCTGGTCAATGTCGGGCTGATTCCTCAGATCGGACTGACCTCACCACTCCCTGGAAACTACAAACTATACTGCAGACAGCCTTCTCTGAGAAAGGAAACACTGGCCTTTGATTATGGATGTACAAGTACAGTAACTCCCATGTTATAAACCTCAGTTCATTTGTAAATATGGGGCATAGCAATCTCATTTATCTGCCTTCTAGCATATTTGGACATTGAGATTTAACATTTGCTGTTCAAAAATTCTTTTCTTGACTAGATAGTTTACATAAAGTAGCTTATGTGTATGCAGGTAATCTATTGAGCCAGTTATTCATAGGGACACGGATTGAGGAAGATATAGAAGGATTACATTCTGAGGTTTTATGAGAGATTCTTATGGGGAAAGTTTCTATGCCAAGTATTTGGATAATGAAAATTTACATATATCTAAAATGTGTTTCAGTTTCCTCCAATCTGATACATAAAACTAAACAGCATGTAGTGATGGTACCAGAATAATAAATGATTAAAGTTTACACCAAGACCTAGATTGGTTCTCAGCTGAATTTCCTAACAGTGGAGTAGCCTATGCCCTCCATACATATGGCTCATGGCTAATCTGTCAAGCCTCAATCTGCTCCCAGGTTACCCTAGGAGCAGAAGATGTATTGGCTTTGTCAACATAATACAAATACATAAAATATCAAGTAAAACAGGTATTTTCAATCTGCATTGGGAAATTCACTCATTTATTCCAGAAATATTTATTAAGCATTAAGTATGTGAGTGCATTGTTCTAAGTGCTAAGGATACAGTGATGAATGATACACCATCAAAGAAAACCCCTACCTGCCATTGTACAAACTTCTAGTGAGATTTTAAAATACACCTTACTAGAACTTTAGGAATACTATTTTAATTTTTTTGAGAAAAAAATCTGCTAATTAGGATCTTCTAAACTTTTTTTTTTTTAAATTTCTGAGTAGGTGAAGGATTACTGATGGTGAAGTTTCTGAGCTGGGCTAGAGGGAGGGACTAGTATCTATTGCCATGACCTTTCTTGTACGAGGAGAGACTACCAGGATGCTGACTTTCTCTCAGGTGATGCAAGAGGGAAGAGGAGTTGGTAGCCTCAAGCAGCTTGGCTATTCAGTCATTTGGCCAACATCTATGGAACAACTATTATAAGATATTTGGATATACGAGTTGAATAATTTCTTTCTAAGATAGTCTACTGTTCCTGTCTATTGCTGATGGTTTGTGAAAACTCTATGCCTAGGCATGTTCCTACAGAGAACAGCTGAGTAATGGTGCTGTGGAAATAATTGCAACTTTTACTGACACCACAGGTGGATTGCTTTCCCATAAATGGAAAATTATTCATTAACATGATCAGTGATCATTATTGCATTGGGTCTTACAGAGCTGTGTGTTGGCACCAAGACTCTTAATGTCAAGGTAATGTAAGCCATGGCCTGAGAGATGAAGGCCATGCTGCTCTTACCATGACCGAGATGTGCAGGATCCTCAGCTCCTCCTCTGCTGACTCGTGCTGGGGTTCTTCGGTTGGGTCTTGTCCAGGAAGGGTTGGGGCACCATCTTGGTGATGGATATGAAAAAGCAAAGTGCCATTCTCCAGCCACTGCTGCCTCCAGCGCACCAGAGGGATGTCCTCTGTGTTCCCTGAGATCTCTAGAGGACAAACAGCAAAGGCACAGATCAGAATTCCAGCTGTACCAGATCAAATCTTCTTACTCATCTTCTTCATAGACACTGGTACCGATTAGCCAGCATCAGAGGAAGACAACATAGGGTTCCAACTACAGTTAGGTCAGACTTACTGCTGCTCCAAATCTCAAGGAGTGGAAGAGACCCTGAGAAGAAAATTATCCCCCATCGGTCTTAGCACCATAATCTAGCGAGATAGCCTCTCACACATTGAGAAAAAGACCAGGTAAAAATTCAAGTTCTTCCCGCTATTTCTATGATCAATAGCATCCTTTACCCAGCACAATTTTAATACCCTGATAGCTCCCCCTGGGGTAAATGCAAGGTTGCTTTCCTCTTGTAAATTTGTGGAAGTGTGAGTTCCCTAGCAATTGCTCCTAGATACCAGCGAATCTACCATGGAGAGAGTTGGTAATTACCATGCAGAGAACTGGTACTTATGAAACATCCTGGGAGATTACTGCAGAAACAACTGGGCTGACAGGTTATTTCTAAAACCATAATCATTTTCTGCAGAGTCCACTGGAGATGTCTGATACTGGTGTGGCAGATAAAATAATGTTTTGATTCCCTTTAAATTTTCTCTTCACATTTTCAGAGCAGAGATGGTGTACAGGGAGAGGGTGGTGCAGAAGTGGGTCCTTAGCACAGGCACAAGACATTCCTAAGAGCAGACATTCACCTGCCCTCAGGGCAGTAGATTGAGGCACTGGTCTATCACCAACAAATGAATTATAAAACTCCAAACATGCACCTCATACCATAGGTGCTAAGCTCCTGCTGCAGAGGTCACTGTGATATGACCCTCTTACTAATATTCCTAAGCAACACCAGGTCAAAGCTTTGAGACGTTCCACAACAGAGACCTGATCAACCCAGTCCCTCCTGAACTTCATTGGCCCCAGACCGTTTCTTCTTTACTAACTATTACCACCAGGGAACTAACCTTCTGCTGAACACACTTGGGCAAAGCTCTGCTTTCTAAAACTTCATTTTTGTAAGGTATGGCTTCTCCCAAAATTTACCACCTTTGACCAAAAAACTAATTCCATAGACAGAAAAAAAATTTAATAAAACACATTCAGAAGAATATGCTTATCAAGTACAACGACCATAAAGAGGAAAGCAATTTTAAATATTTATGGAGTTTATAAATACCTTTCACTATTTGTACGAGGACACAAATAATGTTCTGATTTATTTACTTATATATTTATTCACTTATTTAACAGACACACACTGGCCATATATTAAGCATCAGACCCTATTCTGGGCACTAAGACATGAATCCCCATGAGACCCTTGACAAGTTCTCTAAACCTGGGGTTGCCAACCTTTCCGACCTCGTGGGCCATCGGTTGGTGACCGCTGCTCTAAAGTAACCTATGGTGAGTGAGCGTGGGTTAAGTGCTACAATACATGCATGGCAGCATTCTGTGGGAACGTAGGAGGAGGCAAGACTCATCTTGCCTGGGTAGAGGGGTGAAGGAGAGAGGAAAGTAGCCTTCTTTTCAGAAGATAATACTGGTTTGGGCCTGGAAGTATGGGAGATTTCCCTTTAACAGGCAGGTAAGTGGGGAGAAGGCATTCAGACCCTGATAAGAGAATGAGGAGGAGGAAGAAGAATGTGAGCCATTCCTCTCAGGGTAGGTAAATGACAAGAATCTTTATGAGGCACAGGTCATGGCTAGTATCTAGAAGACACTGATATGATCGCCTATCTCACACCACAGACAAGGGCACAGAGTAACGGTGGGATGTGACGGAGGACCAGCAAGCAGTAAAGACTTAGCCCTTCTTCCCTGATCGCCTACGGCCGTGGTCGGCAAATCGCAGCTCGCAAGCCACATGCGGCTCTTTGGCCCCTTCAGTGTGGCTCTTCCACAAAATAGCACGTGTGGGCGTGCACACACAGTACGATTAAAACTTTGTGGCCCATGCGCAGAAGTCAGTATTTTGTGGAAGAGCCACACCGAAGGGGCCAAAGAGCCACGTGTGGCTCGCAAGCCGCGGTTTGCCGAGCCGCAGTTTGCCGACCACTGGCCTAGGGGACTCAGTTACCCCGATGGGTGCTGGACTGACAGGCTGTCCATGCTCTGGGATGTGCCTGGCATAGCATCCAGCAAGCTGCAGTGGGCAGAGGGTGTGAGAATGGATGACTCCCTGCATCCCCGTCTTGTGCCTCAGACACAGCCCCATTTGTGGGTGAGGCAGGGACTCAGGTTTCCCGATTCACCTTTCCTCTAAGGAGGTTTTCCGATTCCCAGGTGAATAGAAACCCTTGGGCGTGCCTCCTGCTTAGACTAGTAGAAACCCCTCCAGTCACAAACCCTACTAGGTGGCACTTACCCTCACCCATCAAGCCTTCACACCCAAGCACTGGGAAGATTCCTCCAGGGAAACACACCCTCCTCCCCTAAGTCCCTTTCCTGTTATTGTTGCAGAAACCAAACTCAGTCTCCTTCTCACTATAGACATAAGTCACCAGCAGCAATGGTTCCTAATGGAGCACCTAGTGGTATAACTGAATCACCCAGCACAACACACACCCAGCCTCCAGCCCGCACCTGGGATTTATTCCATACACGCTGGTGTCTCTTCAACCCTTCCTGTACCCATTCGGAGGGAAGCTAGCCTCTCATTGGTTTAAGCCAGTGATGGCGAACCTTTTGAGCTCGGCGTGTCAGCATTTTGAAAAACCCTAACTTAACTCTGATGCCGTGTCACATATAGAAATTTTTTGATATTTGCAACCATAGTAAAACAAAGACTTATATTTTTGATAATTTATATATTTAAATGCCATTTAACAAAGAAAAATCAACCAAAAAAAATGAGTTTGCGTGTCATAGGTTTGCCATCACTGCTCTAAGCAGTGATTCTCAAACTTCTGGCCCTTTAAATACAGTTCCTCATGTTGTGACCCAACCGTAAAAATATTTTCGTTGCTACTTCATAACTGTAATGTTGCTACTGTTAATATCTGATATGCAGGATGGTCTTAGGCGACCCCTGTGAAAGGGTCGTTCGACCGCCAAAGGGGTCGCAACACACAGGTTGAGAACCGCTGCCTAAAGCACTTAACAAACTGGATTTTTATTTCCCAGATCTTCATCAAGTGGGTCAAGCTTATTACCTCTGTTTTAACTGTGGAAGCAAAGACAATTCAATACCCAGACCAAGGTCACTGGGCATGACACAACAGGGAATGAAACAGATGAACTTCTGTCATTCCCCTCCACCCCCAGCACACACACTGTACTACCTCACCTTTGAACATGCACAGAGCAAGGACGCACTTGAGGAGAAAGTCCGAGTGGTCTTTCAGAAGTTTTTGTGCTACAGGACTTTAATTTATTACACAAGGAGTTAGTATTCCATGAATTCATTTAAAATTGAGATATAATTCACATACCCAGAAATTCACCCTTTCCAAATATGCAATCTAGTGGTTTTTAGTGTATTCGCAAAGCTTTGCAACCATCATCCCTCTGATTCCACAACATTTTCATCAGCCCAAAAAGAAGCCCCATATTCATTGGCCATCTAAGACTTTTTTGAGAAGGAAGGTATTCTGCTGCAGGGTTCTAGGAGGGATGGTACCAAGGAAAGAACAGGTGCAGGGAGGGCACTGACAAATGCCCACACGGGAAGGTGAGCGGAGAGCATTTCTGGCCTTGGCACCAGGCCAGTCCTCTGAACCTCTGTAGGTCTTTCACACCCCTCCTTATGGACGGCGATTTTCCCAGACCAGACTCATCATAGAGGACAAAGATTAAAGGAAGGAGAATGCCACGTCTGCCAGAGAGGGCACTGTCATATTTTAGACTCAAGATAATTAAGGAATGATGGCTTCTTCCTCAGCTTTTTTCCCTTTCTTGGCAGGACTTGACATGGAAGAGTTAAAATGCTAAACCTGGAATTATTTACTTATGCTATAGTAGCCCTGGTTCAACCAATGAAAAAAACACATGGGGCACAATAAATGTCTTGTGAATTTCATTGTCGATGGGCTGAGGTGGAGCCTAGAACATCAATGCAGTCACATTGGACTGGATGTCAGCAGAATACCTCAAGAAGAGGAAATGCTCCCAAATTGTTTCGCCAATGCAAGGCTGTCCCAAGACTTCTAAGGAGCAAACAGGGATGGTAATAAAATAGTTACTCTAGTCCAAGGCCCCTTGTGCACTGCACCTGAGGCTCAGACAGGGCCTTTTCTATAATGTACTGAATAAAACAAGTGCCAACAGGAGCCCACACAAGCATCTCATGCTATCACAGATGACATGAGCCATCATCACACTTGGAGCTGAGATCTCTGAAAGGATAGACTGTCCTTTCAGCGTGTCTATTCTTTCATTCCACAGCCCTCACATCCTAAGTACCTCCCAAAATTCTGGAATTAACTGGAATACACAGTTATTCCTGGACACAACAAATATTTTTGGAGCATACCATTTTTGCCAGTCAGTCAACTGTGTGACATGGTCCTTACTTTCAAGGAGCTTTTGGTCTAGTAAGAAATTGAAGACATGGCCATAAGTAAGTCCTCTAAACAGTAATAGCAGTGCTGAGTGAGAGGGTAGAAATTGGCTGGGCAAAAACCCAGGGGAAGAGGTAAAATGTTGGGAGGTGATTGCCGATGAAGGGAATGGTGTGTGCAAAGGAACAGCAAAACAATGTGTGTTTGCAAAACTGAGGCAGGTCCGGTGATGCTGCAGGATGGAGGATATGCAGAGATTAGTGGAGGACTGGGGCTAAAAAACAATGCAGATTAGTGTCAATTGTGAAAGTTGTGAATGCCAGTTTAAGGAGTTAGGAGCTAATAGAAAATCATACACAGTTTTATTAAGCAGAGGAGAAAATAAAGCCATGATTAAGAAAGACCTATAAAGAGAGTAGCAAACAGACTAGATTTAATCAATCTCACTCTGTGACTTTGATCCTAGAATCTACAGTGATCC